TTTTAAACAATCATTTTCATTATTTACTTCTCTCCTAATATTATTCCTGATGCTAGACACAGATATACCAAAGTTATATTCTACATTCTCCTTCTGGGTACTCTTCTTGGCTACATATCAACTTTATCATGAAGGAGTAATCCAATGTGTGATGGGATCCATATCAATTGTACATTAATTCCTTTGTCCCTGATTTTTGAGTATCTATACCTGGCTTCTCCAAAAAAGCATGTTGCTGGAGTCATTATATGATTCCAGAGCACTCAGTGATGACATAGAATCAGTAATGATGATAGAGTCAAGATCAGTGTCATAAGTTAGCTTAAGTGCCATTAGGATTGCAAACAATTCAGTTTGCAATGTAGACACCCAGTTGTTAATTCTTATGCCTAGTTCAACAAGTTTATTATCGTTCTTAACTAGGGAGGTGGCAACAAGAGCAGATGCAGCCCTACTAGAAGACTCATGTTTAGATCCATCAGTGTATATAACTTGTGATAACTTATTACTACCAGCTAGGCGAGAAATTTCTTCTTGAGCAGTTGCTTTAACAAGTGATTTAAGGAAGGGATTACTAGCAATGAGCTTCTTGGGAGGGACTTGCAGGTATGTGATATTAAATGAACACATCTTCCATGGAGGGGTGAAATGCTCCTGTAAATACCTTTGTAACTTGTCATGATTGTGACCAGATCTACCTGGAGTTCATTACCTTTGTAACTTGCTCAGCTATCAAAACTTTGGGGCCCAGTCCCTGGACCCATTATGTACCTCTGTAATCTTTTGACTACCACCCACAGGACGGGTATGGGGTGCATAATAAACATATTAAACTAAACTGTTTACAGTGATACAGTTCATGCAGGTTATAAAACTTAATGCAATTGCACGTTTTCACAATCCATTTAGATCTGTGTGTATTTACTTCGAGACACTGAGTAAGATTCATTGTGACAGTGTCACAATGAATCTTAACATTCTAATACCGAGCACAGTGTTAATCTCAACAATTCTAGCAAATATCAACATGGGAGCAGCATAATCAATTAAGGACCTAACATAGGTAATGTATATCATTCTCACGATTCTCACATTAGCACCATAGTTGGGGTTGTAGCCAGCAACAGCTTTGAGAACATTTAGCCCATCTATTTGCTACGTTAAAACTTACAAACATAATGTAGGACAGTGTGTTTATCCTTTCATAAACATACTTTACATATTTTCCTATTCTGTTATGCTAACTTCCCATATACAGTACACAGTTTACCTAAGCGAATCCTGACCACCAGTCTCATTCCGATATTTCCACCTTTCTTGCGATAACCCTATTGTAATGTTATTAAAAAATCACTATTTTGTAATATGCTTCTCCGACTGAACACATCCTTTAAAATATTCATCTGTATTTTTCCTTGTAATCTGAAGCAGCGTTTTTACAAGCCACTAGTCTATATTTTCTCGTTGTGCTCCTCGTTTTGTCAGTTCATCAGGTTCTTCATTACTGGCGAAGTTAACAAGAGAGAACCTTACCTTGAAAGGTTGTCTACTTAGGGATTAGTGGCACAAACAAGCCCACATGGAGAAAATAAAGTAGGGGATGAGTACTGTAGAATCCTCAAACAGAGGCCATAATATACAGTACAATATTATGTAGATAAATGGTTCAGAGAACCGATAGGATGATGAATTAAACTTATGTGCAACACTTGGGCATCTTTATTGTGGAAACGTTTTGGCAGCCAGTGGCTTCCTCAGTCCAATACTGAGAAGGATGGCTGAAGATCAGAAGGAGTTTGAGATAGTCAGTCCCTCAGCCTGAAGTCGATGTGATCAGCAGAGCAAAACCTCTTACGTAACTACTATTAAGTAACCGTCCCACACCATGTCCAGCCCATATGATGCCACCTGTCACCTGACATGTTCGTGCAGGTTTGCCAGGACGGGTCCTAACCCGGGTCTTCTCCATGTGGTGACCCGGCAGTGGCTCTCGAAGGAGTGTCAGAGTTGGTACAAGTGATGTGCAGTTAACAACTCTATAGCGGGGGCAGCTCTGTGGCAAGGCACGGTGACTCTTGCAACTCTAATTGAGCCATTCCTGGCATTCAGGCCGCAGCCCGAGTGCCAGAACGAATCAGATTTTCTGGAGGGGTGTTGAAAACCTGTCTGACAGAAGGTTTTGCTCTGTGACCTGACCTCCCATTTGTCTTCTTTGCCTATGACCTGACTTCACATTCCATTCCGCTTCACTAGCAAGTATATTTATGTAGTATTTTTTTGCCGACTTGATAAAGTTCAGTCCTACACATAACGTAGCCGAAAATAAATACCTGATCTACATTGCGTGTATATACACCCACTTGTCGATTTGTTGCCCCGGTAACCATCCAGTCATGCAACTTGGGGAATGGGAAGCAATCATGTTTAATCCATGGAAGACGGTAACAACTATTACTTGTATCAAGGGATTTACGCTCTTGACTGGATCGCTACGAGGCTCTGTGATATATCGCTATAATACCGGACTTGTTAACAATGGCTTTACTCTTTTATACTTTTATATTATTGTAAAATTATCAATATTTATTACATACACTTTCGTAATTTTTCAATATTAAATAGAATTTATGGTGATAAATATGTTCCTTTTAGGTTATCCTACATTGATTGGAGACGATAGGTGGTAAAATAATAGAATATACCTACATATGCATAATGTAATCTAAAAAAAATAACTTAGCAAAGTAATTACCATACAGAGAACATCGGAGTAGCAAGGGTCCTCGACCACAACAATGTCTCCTGGGTTGAGCAACATTTCGAAGGCTATAGACAGACCTTGTTGACACCCCGCTGTAACTAAGATGTCGCATTCTTCCCACTTTGGTGGAGAGTGATGAAGTTTTGTCATAGCTTTGAGCTGCTTCAACAGTGGTGTATATCTGCAGATGTAAAAAAAAAAAAAAAAAAAAAAAAAAAAAAAAAAAAAAAAAAAAATGGAATCTATCCCGTTAGCAAAGCATGTGAAGATTTTTAAGGCGAATAAAATTTTCCACAAAATTAAAATAATGTTTCTCTTTGAAAATGTAAATGAAATTAAGAGGGACAGGTAAAAAAAAAATATAAATACATAATTATTTTTTAAATTTTCCCGACAACATGTTTAAATTAAAACCAAAAAAAAATGTTTATGTTTTTTAAAAAAAAAGGAAGGAGCATGCGAAAGCCTACGGGCCCCATGCTAGAATTTTCCAAGTCCCTATTTGGGCCCAACCCCGGGCGGACACAAAATTACCACATCACTTATTAATTTGTTTAAATTAGCCAAGGGTGCAAACTTTTGGGGGGTATTTTTATTGAGGGACGTTTCGCCACCGTGGCTTCATCGTCCATACTAGGAAAAAACTTGAAGAACAGGAGGAAAATTGGGGGTTAATCAGTCCTAAAATTGAGTCGAGTTTTCAGCCCATCAATCTTGAGTAAAATACGGGGGGATGAGCGGAGAAGGAGCTTAAAAAAACCGTTTGGCGGAGGGTTTGAAAGCGTCATAGGTGGTGTTACTTTTTTAAAAGTGAAAGGGTGGGAAAGTGGGGATCTTAATACTTGGAATTTTTTCGCTTGCCTAATTCTTGGGCAAAACCTATTAAAATTGAAAAAATGTAACCCCCTAGGGGAAATTTTTGGCTCCACCTCCCCTGCATAGGGTTTTATAAGTTGCCCCCGTCATTACCGTTTCAATCAGATTGATGGATTTGAAAAACCGATCAAGGTTGGGGGAAATTGATTACCTCATTCCCCTCCTGTTCTTCAATTTTTCTCCTATGTAGGACTGATAAAGCCACTGTGTGGCAAAACGTTCCTCAATAAAGTTACCAAGGTTCCCACATGTTTTAAATTTATAAACATGGGGTTTTCTTGCCCATTCATCTACATTAGTATTTTTTTAAACCCTATTTTTAAAACTGCAAACGTTTTAGCTTAAATAAATTTACTGGGGAGTTTGTTCCATGCTTCCAAAACTCTTTTTACCACCCCCGTGTTTGGGCCTATATTTTCAAAAATCAAAAAGGGTTTCCCAAAACGGGAAACCAAATGTGCGATTTATGTTTAGTTATTTTTAGCACGTTTTTAACATCGGCTTTTTTTATCCCAATCTGCACTCTGTAAAAAAGGGTAAAATTTTAAGGGGTTATTTATACACCTCAGTATATCCCCCTTAAAATTTTTCGTTTCTCAGAGTTGCAGATTTAGGTTTCCTCAGTCTACCCTCGCAAAAAAGTTATATTAATAATAAAAATTTAAAAATTAAAAAATTTAATTAATAAAATAATAATAATAAATAAAAAATAAACTTCTTTTTCTACAAGTATTTTTCCAATTGTATATGGGAAAAAATGACACCATGACATGAGGGGAAAAAAAATGGTATAAAACCGACAAAATGGAAATAAAAAACACATAGGGCAGTATAATGTGATCTTTTTTTTGATTTCCCGTTTCCCCCAAAACAGTGGGTTTTTTTAAGTACACAGAATTCTGGGGGGGAAGGGAACGGGGTTTATTTATAGTCAGGTTCAAAATGTTGGGTTTCGGTGGAGAAGGGTGCATCTGATAAATTCCCGAGTGGGGTTTTTGAGTCTAAAATTTGGGGGGTTGTTTAAAAAGGGGAGATTGAATAAGTTTGTGAGCAGCCCTTCTACGTGTTCTTAGGGGGGTAGCGATGAAGAATTTTCTTGGCAGGGGTTCAGCTGTGTTTAGAACCCACTTTTTGGGTTGAATTTGTCGGAAAATTAGAAAAAAGTGATGTTTCCCGGATTCTTCGGTATTGAGTGTTTTTTCTTTTTTTTTGGCGATAAGTCTTGAGTTTCGGTAGTTTATCAAGGGGGGTTTTTGTGAATTACGGTGTTGTCCCCGGGCCTTTTCCTTTGTGTCGCCCAAACATTTTTCCTTTACCTCTTTTTAAAGTATTACCCCCAAAAACCACGCCCATCAAGGAATTCCCAGTGATGACAGGAAAAGCTTCCGGGGCGTTATACGTGGGCAAAAACTTCAGGGACCCCCAAACACGTATTTCAAAAACCCAATACGAAGCAGGTTGAGACCAAGGAATGCCTGGTAAAAACACCGAAATTTTACACAACATTTGAAAAACCTACAAAAACTAAGACTTTCCCCCAAAAAAAGAAAAACACTAAATACGAAGAACCCGGGAAATTCATCATTATTTCTATACCCGAAAACTTAACCAGAATATTTGGTTCTAAACCAGCTAAACCCCATTGCAAGAAATTCTTCACTTTTTCCCACATGAAAAACACTGTGGGGGTCTGCCCCAAAAAACTTATTAAATTCCCTTTCAAGTACCAAGATTTTAGACTCAAAAACCCCTCGGTACATAAATCGATGCAGCTTTTCTCCCCCTGACCTCGGGCATTCTAAACCCGGGCAAAATATCGGTTCCTTCCACCCCAGGTGTTTGTGTGTGACTTAAAAAAAACCCCATGTGTGGGCAAAAAGTGTCAAAAAAGATCCATTTTTACGCTGTGTTTATATTTCCATCGTGCATGTATACAGAAGCGTTGCTATGTAGAGCTTTTCAGGAAAAACTAGGTAAATTTTTTGCCCCCAGGCTGCGACCCACACTAATCGATTTAAAACAGGGGAGAGCGGGGGGAAATGATGGTCAATAAGGTTAAGTCAATGTTATGCAGTGGAAAATAGCATTAAAATGGGGGAAAATAGGTAGGAGGGGAGGGGTTTGGCTTTGTAAACACATCAAGGTATTGCAATTGTGTGGAAAAACACACTTATTTACAGTTTTGTGGAAATTTTTCTTTGAGAAAATTTAGGAAGGAGGGGTTAAATTTGAGTGGGTTGTGGGTAGGGTGTTAGGGGCGCCTTTGGGGGGGTTGCGTGCGGAGGCTTAATTTGCATCAGCGTGTTAAATTTTAGCGAAAAGGCTTTTGTTTTGGGAAGTTGTGGATGGGGGTAAATTGTAACCCTTAGGGTTTCGTTTTGTGAGAAAAGTTTATTGAAAGGGGTATTTTATAATATGGGGGTTCAGGTTGTGATTGGGTTTTGCGAGAGTGTTGTGTTTTTTGAAAGTCGGGGTGGAAGGGGTTAATGAAACTGAAAAAGGGGAATATTAAGTATGAAAGTTAAACAGTTATTTGCGTGAGGGTCGGAGGGTTGGTAAAAGGTTTTTAAATTTGGGTTCGAGGGGATTTGGTACGATGGATTTTATTGGGGGGGATGTTCCCAGGTGCGGAAAAATGCTGAGGGTTTTTAAAATTTTTTGAAGGGGTCCAAGTCGAATCAAGATTAGAAAAATGGCAAGGGTGGGAGAGAGGGGGGGGGCTAGGTAGAGGGGGTTTAAAACCAATGGATGATGGGTTAAATTTTTGGGGGCGCTTTAAGGAGTTACGATTGAGGGCCGGGGTTAAAGGGAGGTTATGTTAAATTCCCCCCACAATATATTGCCCTTCCGGGGGGGTTTTAGCGAAAAAGGCCCTGTACAAGTGGGGGAAAGGGGCGTTTTGTGTTTGGGGGGGAATTTTAACGGCTTTTCCCCGCAGTGGTTTTTTGTGAGAGTTGGAAGCGGTTTTGGTGTGGTTTGCAAAAGTTATTTCGAAGGTGGGGGGGGAGGGAATTTGTGTTTAAAAGGGGTTAAGTTTATGTGGGGGGGGAGGGTTGGCCCGGGACAAAAGGGGGGATTTGGTATTGTCACTGAATTTGTTATTTCAAACATGGGCCCGCCCGAAGTAAACAGCAAAAGAGAGGTTTAGGGGGCTGGAGCGATTTTTTTTTGGTAACAGCAGGGAATAGATAGATTGCTGGGGGGAGAGGCTTTCGACTTTTTCCGTGGGATAATTTTAATTTTCATGTTTGGGGATTTATGGGTATTTGACCCTGAGGGTAGGGGTGGGGTGGCCTTTTGTGTGTGAGGAGAGTGAAGGTTTGGGTTCGTGGTTTAGGAAAAATGATGAAACCCAAAATTATTATTAAATTATAAAATTAATTAAAGGTTTTAAACCCCCCCCCCCCCCCCCAAAAAAAAATTTTTAAACCCCCCTTTCCCCCCCCTTTTATAAAAAATTTTGGAAGGGCCCCCATGTAATAGTAATATTTTGGGCCGTAAGGGCCCAAAAGGGTTAAAAAGAAAAAGGAAGGGGTTTTGGAAAAAAAAATTATGTTATATTGTTTGCCAAGTGAATACATCGAATAAAATGTACGTTAACCTTTTATAATACACATCATTTGTGTAGCAGAATCGACACATGCTATAGTAATATTGTCGTCAGTATGATGACGCCTTAAGGTTAGATTTTGAAACTATAGAGGTTTGAGCAATCCTTGGCATACGTCGGCGACCCTCGTCACTATTAGTTATACACTGATGTAACTTAGGGTCGACATTTAAGATAACTGTATTGTTGTTGTGATACTGATAATGGATAAATGTCGAACACCGACGCATGAGATAATCTCAAGCAATGGCCTGTCGTGTATTGCTAATAGGTGAACGTGACAGTCATATGTGTATATATCCTGTTAATGCTTGGCTTAGCTCAAGCATATTCCAAAAAGTATGTATTTGATGTATGGTTCTTTAAAAGGTATCAGCCTTCACATGGCTTATATAATCTGAGATATATGTATATGAACCTACTATCACAATCTTTAATTATTACGTGTTTTGTATTTTTTTTCTACGTTAATGTTACTCAATGCCAGATTTAGGCTTGTTATATAACTTCTCATGATGTATTTTTGTGCTTCAAACAGGGAAATAAGGTTTTAATGTACTGTAACTAGATCGTTTTGATACCTTACGATAGGATTTTGTTATTTGTATGGATTGTACTTGTATACATAATGTTAAATCTTTTACTTGCGGATGTGTCTTGCCCAGTGTTTAGGTGGGGTTTCATTGTGAAATGCCCTAATGTAATGTTTATTATAGGCTTTGTTTTGCCTAACGTTTTAGGTCAATGTTCTGTATTTTTAAAATTTGTAGGTTGTGACATTTACAGTGCAACTTGTGCAAGGGCAGAGCAGTGGGGGGTTGGTGTGAGCGCTGACATAAATTGTAAGCTTTGTGTTAATGGTTTTGTTCCGTGCTGGAGCTCTGTTATGCGCTTCCAGCACGTATTATGGTGGTATGTCTTGGCAATTTTATTGAAGGCTTAGGTTTGCCTTTTGTTTCATTATTGTAATGTATAATGTTTTTATTCCTATGTTTATCATATCTTCTGTGTGCTTTGTGCAAGGAGGTTTTATTGTACAGTGTAACAGGAGTGTATTGTAGGTTTAGATTCTGTTAGTGTATTTTCTGAGCAGGTATTATCATGCTCTTTTCATTGTTAGGTGATTGTTTACCCTTTAATACGATATAATTGTAACACTGGGGTCTGATGGGGGTTGACACTAGATCATTGTATTTGCAAGTGGCTAATTGTTGTGTTCTTTTATTTATTTATATCTTGTATTGTGTCATTTTCAATAAAATATAAAAAAAAATCGACTAACACCAGGTTAAACAGGACAGGGGTGAACGGGTTCTTAAGGAAACACGTCTAATGTTTGCACCCATAAATGTTTCATTAGTTGGTCTTGTGTTTTTTCCCTAACATATTTAAAAAAAAAACCTGTTTAAGCAGGAATTGTGTGCAGGAAGATTGGGCCCTGTATAAACTCCAGAAGTGGACACCAAATGAGATGGATAACGCAAATAAATACAAAAAGACCACAATACTAATCTTAATATTTTTGTACCTCATTGGCCTAAATATGAAGTCTATGAACTCAATTCAAGGCATCATGAATGACTGTAAATTAATAAGCAGAAAGGTGAAGGGGGAAAGGGGCTCGATCCGTGGTCCCAAGACCACGGTACGAGCCCCTGAACCTATTAATCTCGGGACTATGGCTCGAAACCTCAGTCCGCCTTTCTGTTTATTCACGAAGCTATGTTTTACATATATGGTGCTACTCACCCTGGTGTAGGACCATACTGGAGAGCAGAGCACAGCATGTCTGGTGTGAGGGTGAGCAACCTATCATCTTGTAAGGTGATGCTCACCTTCTTGAAAGGAAACTGTTTTGGGTTAGGTATCCCTGAGGCCAACCACACCATTGACGGCGATGGCGTAGTCAACAACAATTCTGTAAAGGTTGGTTGATTGGTTAATGGGGTTTAAAGTCTGTCGAGTACACTGGAGTCATTAATTAAGCATGTAACTTTACTTATCACTACCAAACAGAATACTTGAATTCTTAAAAACAGGGATGCGGTATACACTTCTCGGTGTATACCATATCCTGTGATATAAGTATGAAAATTAGTGCACTGTACGTTGGTGTGAAGAGCACCGTACGGTGCTTTAACATAAAGTTACAGCACCGTAAGGTGCTTTAACATAAAGTTACAGCACCGTAAGGTGCTTTAACATAAAGTTACAGCACCGTAAGGTGCTTTAACATAAAGTTACAGCACCGTAAAGTGCTTTAACATAAAGTTACAGCACCGTAAGGTGCTTTAACATAAAGTTACAGCACCGTAAAAGTGCTTTAACATAAAGTTACAGCACCGTAAAGTGCTTTAACATAAAGTTACAGCACCGTAAGGTGCAAAATGTCGATACAACCTCAATATTTCAGATACTTTATCATTAACAATGAAGTGTTTTGCCATATCATATAAGGTTTGCATGGAGATGTCTCTCAAAGGTTGGATGTTTGGACACTAAGATATGATGTTTCAGTGTACGGCTCTTTCTCTCTCTGCATTTTATGTCATTCAAGCCGTACTCTTAGGCTAGCTTTAGTCTAGCAGTAATAACATCTCGCAGATCTAATGACCTTGTTACTCTCTCTCTCTCCTCAGATATGTTAAACTTGATACAGTTCATTATGACTGATAATAGATCTGCTAGTTGGTATCTGTACTGTTATGCTTTCTTCAAGTTCGTTTGCTGGTTCCTCTCTAACGTTATCATGCTCTTGGAGGCCTATGTGAGAGACAATCCACAAAACTTTAACTGTAATCCCGTTCTTAATAATTTGTGTATATCTGTGTCTAGCTGAATACACAAGGTTGTTACATTCAGATTTCAAGCCAGTGGAGACTATGACCGCACACAGTTTAATTTCAACTGACTTTATGTTAGATTGGGTAAGATTTGTCAGGAACCAGGACAAGTGTTTCCCGACACGGGTCTTAGTCATATCATGACCCGCCGCTGGAACTTTCGGTCATCTGACGAAGGCCTTCCGCTGGCTTACCCCTCCACCCCTTAATATTATGGTTATAATTCTAACCAATTCATATATACCTGGCTGACTCTCCTCATTACTTGCTCTAAATATTTGTTTGATTAGCTACACAGTACCAGGTATCGACAAGTGATTAACCCCCCACTCTCTGACACATATTTTATTAATTATAGCTTTCCATAGCAAGCAAGTGCGAAGCATTTAATAAGATACTCATATAAGCGTCTAAAGTGGATAAAAAAATTGGCAGCAAAATAAGGCAATGAAAGTAAGAGGATATTTATGCCATGAGAGATTTGATTTAGACTTGAAAATATATAAGAAGTGAATATATTTAGGTATCTGGGAGAGAGGATGTGTGGACAGATAAGTGTATGAAAGATCACGAGAATCAACGAATAGATGAGGTGAAGAAGGTAGCTAGTGTTTTGAAGAGTCTCTGGAAAGAGGTTTGTCATTGTATCAAAAGCATTGTAGTTTAGTATTTTTGCATAGGTGATGAGAGATGGACATTATTCATGTTGCAGTAAGGAGGCGGCTGGAGGCAGTGGAGATGTGCTTCGAGATTGTATGGCATAAATATTATACAAAAATAAGGAATGGAGAATCTGGCTTGTTGGTATGAAAGATACAGTTCAGAAGACAGAGGAGGCAAGATAGGCTGCACAAGAAGTGTATAAATCAAGGGTGGATAGGTGTAGCGGGCATTGCATAAAGAGTTAATTTAGAGGTTATGAAGTAGGTTTTTGAGAGGTAAGAGGTTAAGCATCTTACAGTCATGTGTATTGATTGGAGACGTGTGCTTTTTCTTGGGATATCATGTGCTGCTGGTGTGTAGGAAAGGTAAAATCGATGAAGGTATTCAGAAAATTTGTTAGATGAACTTGCGTTCTGGAGGGGGGAAGTACATTGGGGTGGAGTTGTTGAGGTTTGGTGGGTCATTTGCACACTTGTGCACATCCGGAAAGACAGCTGTTGACTGACCGATGGTATATGTTGGGAAACATCTAATTAGTTACCTGACTCTAAAAGGCGGTTTTACTCTGAAACACATGCTACGATATCCAGTGACATGGGCGAAAATTACTTCGTTTAAAAGTTTGGAGTCGACACAAAGTTTGGCACTACAAATCACCTCTTTCTGTAATGATTTTATTCAGTGCTCACATTTCAAACTTTATATTGTGGTTGGAGTCACGTGCACGATGGAACACAGCACCACTGCTTTTATTAACTATTCTGATATAACTACAGAATGCCTCTTCAGCTGGGCTTTGAACTTTCAAAGTTGGTCTTTCTTGGTGGAAAGTTTGAACTTGTGTTGGGCTGTGTATGTCTTTGTCATTTTTTTAAATTAAAGAAACTGAGATATTAGTTTCCATGTGATAATTGGGAATGCCTCTTCCCTATCACTTAAAATCTTCAACGCCAATATTTATCTGCATTACAAACTTATGCCACATTCTGCACTATGCTTTTCGCTTGTATTGAAGTACAGGGGACCGAGGTTATGCAATAAGGGAATACCTTTCTCAAATCGTGCAGCGACCGAAATACATCTAGTTATTACTACACTTAAGGGGAAAAGCGCTAAACTTGTAAGGTCGTAGGGTGATACAGTCTCGGGGGAATAGGAGGCAATCACGTTCGAGCCATTCCTGCATCAAGAGCCCCTCATCAGCTTTAAAAGGAACCTTAAAGGACCTATGCCATGAGAATGTTCTCATTTCTCCCAACAAAATACCACCACCAACCTGACTTCATAGATTTGAGTTCTGTCTCAGTGAGCAATTGAAGAACACAATAAAATACGGAAGCAACGTAATTCTTACGCAAGTCACTGATTCCTGACGGTTTTCTTCTGGCCGAAACTGCTGATATGAATTTTGAATAATTCATCCTGAAAAGAATAAACATATTATTACTCATCTTTCCTCGGAAACTGAACATGATGCAAATTTTAATGTAATGTTATGCGTATGAAATATTTAATGCAATGATTAGGTGTATCCAAAAAACTTAGTTTGTCACGAGGAATAATGTTGGTCAACAGGTGGTGAACAGCTGACATGTTGGCGATAAATGGTATAAAATACGGACAAGATGGAAAAATTCACACAAATGCAGTATAATGTGATCCTTTATTGACGTTTTGCTTTATCAAGTGAGACAGATTTTTGTGACTTGATAAAGTTCACTGTGTGGGCGAAACGTTGTTAATAAAGGATCATATTATACTGCAGTTGTGTTTATTTTTTCCCTATGACATGTAACAGTCCGACCCTCGTGTGGACAATAGGGTTTAAACGCCATAAATCAACATGTGCATACACAGACAAGATGAGGACGAGGATGATGATGATACTACTACTACTACTAAAAAATAATAATAAATTTTATGATTTTTTAGTTTAATATGTTTATTATGCACACCATACCCATCCTGTGGGCGGTAGTCAAAATGTTAGAAGTACATAGTGGGTCAGGGACTGGGCCCCAAAGTTTTGATATCTGAACTAGGTACAAAGGTAATGAATCCTGTAAGTAAAGTTACTTACTTACCTTTATACATGGCTACAATCATGAACAAATTATAGAGTAATGAACAATTCGCACGTCTACACCCGGTCACAACTGAGTTATTGGTGCAAATATTAGTTGTTGGGTCCACACACACACACACACACACACACACACACACACACACTAACACTTTTTTTATGAAGGCTTAAATGCCTTTCACGTATCACTGCATAAAAAAACACAGCATGTTGTAGTGTGTTAACACAGTCTATACGGCTGTTGGAGTGTGTCTTTCCTATGAAGTGACATTCCTGCATTGCTCTGTGTTGAATGGTACCACTTGTAAAAAAAGATTAGGGTAGGGCAGGTTAGGTTAGGCTAAATTAGGTGAGGTTAGGCTATATTAGGACAGACACAAATGACATAGACACAGATACACGACACAGGAAGCCGCCCAGCCGCCGTGGAGAGAAGACGTCGTCGTTCCTGCTCTTCAGTTATCCTGAGTAATTCTCGAGCAGAGCAATTTCTTGGGTTATCCTGAGTAGTTCTTCACCAGAGCTGAGAGGAAACTTGCTTGCAGTCACTTCGAGCACCATCCCATCAAGAGGGTAAGGCGTGACTTGCTTGCTTGTTCACCCCTCTTCCCCCATCCTCCCCTCACCCAAACAACTACACTGGCCCACACACTAACACACTACATACATTGCTATCCTTCTGACTTTCCTATCTTCTTTTTCGGCAACTTCGCTTTGGCGAGTTAACACAAGGCATTTTGACCATCCGGTAGCCCGCGTGGTTTTTTAAATCCAGCCGATCTTTGCTTGGGCCCTTTCCCCTCACTACTCGAGGGTAGGCTATCTTAGGGGCTGACCTTCATAAGTCAGCTGAAATAGGATGTTAGACTAACACTAAGGAAAGACCCTTTTTGTTAAAGTAACTTATGTGCCAGATGTACCTTCATGGATATCATGGCGCGGATAAGAGTAAGATTACGGATTGATGACAACCAAAAGTCGAGAAAAGAAATTCTAGCATGCATTTGCTCAAATTCAGCTGTTGCTCCAGTGGATGTTTTTACAACTCTCGCTGGGGTAGTACTTCTCCTCTCTTCTGAAGAAGAGTTACTTCAACTACTTAAGCAGGATGTCCTGGACAAACTGAACACTTTTGGTATCCATCCAATTGCACCTGAAAGCTATCAAGCTCAGCGAACTGTGTTTGTTGCCATAATTAACAACATCATGAGAGATAGCACAGTGAATGAACTTCTTGCTGATTTTAATGCAGAGAATTCAGAATTTCATGCTGTCCAAGCACATAAATTTTCTAAACCTGGCAACAACCAGGAAACATTAAAGTTAATACTTGAGACACCTGAAGAAGCCAAAATAGTGTGTCAAAATGGCTTCAAATGTTTTGGCACCAGATGTACACCTGACCAAATCTCTCTTGAGCAGTTTGTCAGTGTTACACAATGTTACAAATGTTACGCATTTGGTCATACCACCAACAAATGCAGTAGCCAAGCACTGATTTGCAGCATATGCTCTGGGCAACATTCTTTTAAAGATTGTAATAACAAAACTAAACCCAAGTGTGTCCTCTGCAATGGAAAACATCATGCTGTTTCTGCTATCTGTCCCGAGAGGAAAAAGGAAATGCAGAAAATTCTAGAAGCTAAGAAACTGTCCAATTCTAAGAAGAACACTCCCGAGGCACCTCCAACAATGTCCCAAACTTCCTTCCCAGCTTTGCCTGGATCTAGTGGGACTCCTCAGGTCTCTTCCACGGGTTTTCCAATGTTTGGAATTCTGCCCCTCTTGGAGTGCCCCAATCTAACCCTCACCTACAACATACACAAACGCAACAACAAGGTTCAGTCTCATCTCCCATGTCTCAGGTATCCTCAGCCGGGGATATGACGAGAGCGCAACTAATGTATATGATGGCCAAAGACATAGCAGGTGGTGATATTCAGCTCTGCTCTAAGATTTTAAATGATTTGTTAATGGCTAATGGGATCACTCCCATTACTATCCCAGATAATGTCAAGGTTATTATGGCCCAGCCTTCTCATAACAAGAAGTATGTACCATATTGTACTTCTACAAATAAGCCTAAGTCATCCCTTGTCCAGGGATCACCCACCTCGCATACCCAGGTTGTCAACTCCCCTCAACCCGATGAGTCAGTACCTGACCCCAACGATGCCCCAGAGATTGGTGCTTACTCTTCCGCTATTGCAGCTGATCCTGTTGAACAGGAACTTTCCCAGGGTAATTCACCTGGCCTACCAAATTTTCCCTTGGAGCCTCCACAGTCTCCTATTAACTCTCACGAGCCTCTGCTTCCTGAAACTGGGAATATCACACCTCAGTTTTATGATGATGACTCTAATGACTCTAGAATATTACCAATTCTAGTGAGGATGGTGACATTTTTAATACACAAGCAACTACTCAGAACTTCCCTCCTCCCCTTGACGAGTCCAGCAGGGATAGTGTGTATACCAAACATGACATTACTTGCAGGCGTTCAGACCGCAGTACACGTGCGAAGTGCAAGAAATAATGGGGATTACAATTTTCCAACTTAATGTTCAACATTTCTTTAATAACCGTTACCTCCTTGAAGTTGAACTACATAATTACAATCCCGATGTTATACTCTTGAATGAGACAGCTGCGAGAGTTGATCAACATATTAAATTACGTGGTTACTCTACTGTGGATTTAAAAATATTCATATTGATGAAGATAACATTCTTGCAACAGAAATGACGACGTCTCATGGCCAACTAGTGATAGGAACTGGATATTTTCCCCTGAGACAACAATATATAGAGTCAATTCCTCTACATAGGATATTAAGCAGAAATATTCCAACAATTCTAGCTGGAGATTTTAATGCTCATCATCCTGCCCTCTTTAACTGTGGAGTTGGTAATCCACTGGGCGACTTGAAAGGAAAACAACTATTTAATATCATGACAGCCAGAAACTTGTCATTTCAAGGCCCATTCTTTAAATCGTATATTGGTCCTCATCCAGGGACACCAGATATAGTCCTGACAAACAGAGACTGTGACCTCTTTCATTGTCGTATCACTTCTTCCTAAATTGACAGAGATTAGGATTCTAGCTAACAAAATTAGGGCGGCAGTTATAACCATCTCTGAATCCTGGTTGGATGATACGGTGACTGACGACGAGGTCAAAATAGAAGGTTACAATATAAAACGCTTAGAAACAGAAAGGGTGGTGGAGTATGTGCCTACATTAGAAATGACTTAGCTTACAACCCAAGACCTGATTTAAAAAACAATAAACTGGAGATTCTATGGTTTGAAGTGCTGCTTCCCAAGACCAAACCCATCTTAGTAGGAACTAGTTACCGCCCTCCCACCCAGGACCAGTTCTTAGAAGACTTTTCCAGAGTATTGTCCGGACTTAAAAACAATTGCGAGACAATAATACTGGGCGACTTCAATATCTGTTTTCAGCAGCAAAATAACGGGCTATGCAAAAGGTATAAGCAAATTCTAGGTTTAAATAGTTACACTCAACTAATTAATTTTTTTTTATATTTTTATTTAAAACAACAATACATTAAATAAATAAAAACACATTATCAGTTCTTACTCAAAATTATAAATCCCATTGTCATATACATTACATCCAATGTAACTATGTTAAGTAAGATTACACAAGATAACATAACAATATTCATCATTATTATTATAACCAAGGAAAACCCGAACCTACAATCTGCATTATTTTTTCCACTTTGTTATTTATATATTATTAATCCACATAACCTTCAAACCCTCCTTTACAATACTCATCATTGCCAGTGCCGACACAGCTGACACTTCTACCCCCCCCCCGTATGTACAGTCCCCATTCTAAATATCATACATTAATTTCCCTAATGAATGGCCATTGAAAACAATTTCTACTAAAATAAACCAACCCAGCAGACTTCCAAACAAAAACAGTCAGGGTCATTATAAGACATGTAGGAACGAGTCCTGCAGTCATATATGTATACATATACGCATGCATATACACATACGTGTATGTGCACTTATTCATAAGAACCAACTAAATCATATATAGAAATAAATCGCTAAATGGACTTGTCTGCAAATAAAACTAAATATTACAATTTATGATAGAACTATACCAAAGACATTGGTTCCCCCAAACACCCTACTCATACACAAAGTTAATGTTACTGATTAACACAATATATAATAGGACCTTCCATACAAAATAAGGGGATATATAAACCCCATCAAATACTTATATATTTTCGTACATAGTGCATAATGTACATATTCAATACAATAATAAAAAAAAAGAGGTGTATGACAAGG